AGAGAGAGAGAGAGAGAGAGAGAGAGAGAGAGAGAGTACCACAGTTGTACAAATTCGTTGTTTTTGTTTTACCTTGTTTTGGTTGTTTATTATGTTTACTTTTTTGCTCGTCTTATTTGGGTAGAATTAGTAGGAGTCTTCGGTTGTTTCTGAGTTGTGTGGTGATTGCACTCCGATGTTGAGCCAAATGTCTTTTGCATGTATGGGGGTGTGTGAGATGCTCGGTGTGAGAGAGAGAGAGAGAGAGAGAGAGAGAGAGAGAGAGAGAGAGAGAGAGACTACCACACGGGGACACACACAGACAAACACAGTCAAACACACGCACAAACAAACACACACACAGACACACACACACACACACACATACACAGACAAACACAAACACAGACAAACACAGACAAACACAGACACACACACAGACAAACACACACAAACACACGCACACACAGACAGACACACACACACACAACAGACAGACAGGCAGACAGACACACAGACACACATAGTCAGACACAGACAGACAGACACAGACAGACACAGACACCCAGACACAGACAGACAAACACAGACAGACACACGGCCAGACAGCCAGACACAGACACACACACACACACACACACACACACACATAGACACACACACACACACACACACACACACACATAGACACACACACACACACAGACCGAGAGAGAGCGAGAGAGAGAGAGAGAGAGAGAGAGAGAGAGAGAGAGAGAGACAGAGACAGAGACACAGACAGACAGGGACACGCACAGACAGACAGAGAGGCAAACAGACACACACGCAGACAGGGCTTTATGGTTGTTATCTTGTTTCGTGTTTTAATAATATATTTTTTTTATTTTATTTTTTTTCATCGGAAGTATCTTGAAGCACCACTACATCTGCAAGGACTGTCACCGAAAAGGCTCCACAAAGTCGGCAGGCCTGTAGCACACCGATGCCGCCGATCCCTTTTATGAACGGTAGGCCCAGCCTCCTGACACTTCTGAAAGTAGGGTACTCCTTAAACCTCAGAGGCGTGGATGTACTGGTGGTTTAAGTGCAGGTGCTAACACACAGCTGGGTGGTGGTAGGAACAAGAATGGACACAGAGTGGGTGTTCGTGTATATCGACGGGACTGTAAGGGACGTGAAGAGGAGGGATAAGGTGAAGAGATGGTTATGGTGAACTCAGGGCTCGTCCCAGGTATTGGCAATGGTGATAATATTCGAGTACTTCGATGGCTGCTGAAGCCATGGAGTTGCAATGCCCACGTAGAAGTAGAATGTAGCAGGGTAGGCAGTATTTGGTCGCGGACCGCCGTGGTCGGATAGAATGTGGATACTCATGGCACGAAATGTTATGTCCATCGCTATCATCATCACTTGGATTCAGTGTTATGAATCTTGGTCAGTGTGACATTGGTGCATTGCTGCTTGTAAAATTCAGTACGACTTC